CTAGGGATGGCAACCAAAGAGAACACTTCTGCATCTACTCTGCCACTGCTCACTTGACATTTCAAAAGTTCAATACATCTTTGTCTTTGATCTGAGAAAATGAAATGTGTACAAAATGGTCAATTTTTGTGGATTTTCTGACATACCTCTTTTGAAGGACATTGGGTCAATTTTGTGTAGCCCTCATTCATTCATATACTTCTTTAGTAAAATTTAAACGTCTCTCCCGATTCTTGTGTAACGTCATCAATTTTCAGAAAGATTTGTGAAATTTGCCTGCCAAATCAGGCTTATTTTTCATAAAACTAAGAACATTATTGCAAGTTCTGTGAAAAATTCTGAAATACATTTCAGTGCAAATTGGAAATTTGGGAATTTTGGAAGCACACACTAATGCCTGTTCTAAAGATACTGGAACACATACATCATGAATCTGCTTTCATGAAACTAAGAATGTCAGTGCAAATTAAGGTTTTGGCCCAATTAAAAGTCTTTGAAAATTGGAAATTTGTACATTCCCTGACTAAAATCATTCGCGCCGAATAAAAAAGACACTGAAACACTTTCTTTTGAATTTGCTGGCATTACCTGGATGACAAAGTTAATCCTGAAGAGTGAGTGTAAAATGTAGAAACAAATAATGGAAACACTGAAACACTTTCTTTTGAATTTGTTGGCAGTACCTGGATGACAAAGTTAATCCTGAAGAGTGAGTGTAAAACGTAGAAACAAATAATGGACGGAGGCTCATTGTGGTTGTGCCATCTCCATTTGCACTTTTTAAGTCTCTAAAATAAGAGCAGAAAAAAACGGAAAAAACTAGCTAGGAACCAAAACAAAAAAGAGCCAAGCTTTTGACACTGTTATCCAAAGTCAATGAGGGAGAACTACATATGCTGCAGGTGGACAGTGCATCCAGGCCATTCACTCCAGTCACATAGGAGACAATCACACTCCTTTGGAATCCCTTCAGGGGTAAACTCTGCATTTCATTTGAAGAATTCGAGGAACACGAACCTTAAACATGGATTAAAGAAAGCGTCTATTGAGCAGATTAAGTTGCTCCATCGCCAGGCTTGAAATGTTTAGCGGCCAATGCAAGAAACCCGACACCCTTCATTGTCGAGCAATTTTTCATGGGGGTAGAGTTACGTGTTACAAAAGATTCACGTGTGTGCAATTAAGATTTTTTCCTGAGTGCAGATCTGTGGTTTCTCCTAAAAGAAAAATCCACAGTGGGATTCTGTCAAGAATACTATACCCCAGGTAAATGCAAAAAAAATCGCTGAAGGAGAATTGTGTTCCCCTCCATTTAAGAGGAGTGAATGGCCTGGGAGATTGGGTAGCAATCTGCCTCTCAGTATCCTAAACAGAAACTGTAGCATCGACACGGGGAGCCAGTCCCGGCTACAAGGTCCATGGTAAGTTTAATTGAAGTTTGTAGAATTGATTCATGCACTGGTGTAAACAAAAATGGTTGTACATCCTGATGTCTTACTTGCTAAACCCAACTTTGTATCTCATGGCTAGGAGTAGGACTGTAGTCTGTATAAACAAGGTGGTAATGTGCAGATGGTCTTCAGTCTAAGGCAATATGTAGTGGCGTAGCTAGTGGTGGTGGGGGAACATTGGCTGTAAAGGAGGAACAGAACCCTAGATGAGTCACACTCAGCTGATCACTTGCTGAATTTAATATCTGTCATTGACCACCGTATGATAGCCATGTTTGGAAAAAAGAGTCAAATGATGGCAAAGTATGTTAAATTGACTGGCACTAAGGGTCAGTTCTGCCTTTCAACCTGCTGCTTACTCATGTTACTAGTTGACAAAAGTGGACAAAACAGTAGCAGAAATAATGGAAGCTGTTGGTTCATTGCAGCGTACTTTGACAAGCCTGCCTGGGAGGAGCCGGCAGTTCGATTCCTTGAAATTCTGAGTAACACTTCTGTCAAACTCAGAGCTGATGTGATGCAGAGTTCTGTGAAAAGTCCACTATTTTATCTCAGCAGGGGCAGTTGAATGATCCTGAGAAACAGAATTCTGGAAGAATTCTTGCAAGTGTGCCTTCACACTGTCAATTGCTTAATGTTGTGGACTTGTAGCACTGTCCTCAAGAACTTAATTCTCTCAATCTGCAGAAGTCATTCCTGAAGTGATCTCTCCACTGTGCATGTCAAGAATCATGCCATGTACACAGGTACATTATATTCACTGCAGTAGCAATATAATCAGCAGGTGGTCTTGTGACATAAGCAGGAGAATTGTGGATTCCTTCCTGGATTTGGTTATAAACATGAGAACATCCATTAATCACATTGCCTACCCCTCCCCCATCACTCCCTAGCTATGCCACTAGCTTTGCATTTAAAATTTTTCGAAATGCTGGACACCTGCCCCTTAACAATAAGATGAGGAAATCTGATCAAGACACTAATGACAAACTTTTAGAACTTGTTTGAAATTAAGTGTCATTCTAAATGTCATTGAGTTAAATATGAGGTGGATATTGCTGTACTGTGACGAAATAAACATTCTGTACTCCAAAGCTGAGCAGCTTATGTTGATGAATTCACAATGAACAAAGTCACAGTTTGAAAAAGTGCTGCATATATGACTGTGACATATACATGTGACAGCGCCACTCTTGTTTCAAGCCTTGATTTTAGTAGCCATTGAGTGAAGAGGCATATCGGTAAATCTACCGATGAAATGACCAGCAATCTTGCTTTCTGCTCTGGTCAGGTCCTCTCCTAACCTGTTTCATCACAGGTTTACCATCCATGCAATGTTAAGTGGTGTCAATGTCATGTTTGTTTATGTGACCACCTTGTGCTAGCTGCAATCATGAAGTTCCTACATGTACTTCTGATGTAGCAACTCTGAACATTTCTTCTGGACCACCTTTGCAAATTGGCCATCAGCATCTTGATCAGTTTCACCTTTGATGTGAAACACATGTGTCCTGAAGTTTCTTTACTTTTGCTTTGAATTTCTTGAATCCCACATGTGCATGCAGTACATGTACTTCAACCATAAATAATGTGTGAGAATCATTTGTTTAAAGATGAAAATTCTCTACAGGAATCAAATTACTTCAGGTGAACCCCAGATATTGCAATCTGAGGAACATTGTCGGGTCCAGAAGATGTTAGGGATAAACCCGTAGAGTCATTACAACTGTAGACATTATTGCCTTGGACTGAAGACCGTCACGCTCGTTGCATTTTGGTTAGCAAAGGCCAGCGTTTCTCACATGACCAAATATATCATTGGTTTAATAACTGGAAGAATTAAGTGGGTTTGTCAGGTTGGAAGTGCAAACCTGAAGTCTGGGTTTGAGTCTTTTTCTGAGTCTTGAGTTGTAGGTTGAGGCAATCTTGATGAAATTTTTAAGTCTTGAGTCTTCAAGTTGATACACTTATGGGAAATTTGTTTTGTTTAAAAACCATGATACTAAAACAACTTCATCAGTGGGTCTGAAGCACACTGTCAGTCATGAGCCATTTATTTGTAGACAAAAGGCAGTTTAATGTTACGGAATTGAATGATCTTTTACACAAAGGATTTATAAATACACCGATCTACATTATCATATTTCAAATTTGCTTTTCCACAGAAAGTACTCAACTCTTATGAAATGTCACAAAACCTGAACTTTCCTATAATCTTCTT